AGGTCACACGAGTCATGGTCTTAAAATGCCTATTTTTCTTCATTCACTCTAAAGGAAAGCCTAGGATTTCTGGCTTGGATTCTGAAGTTGAATTGAACAAATCCCATGGCTTGTGTCCAATTTTCCAAACGTTTTCTGTAATTCTGTGGTTTGTATCCTCAGAAACAAATGCTGAATTTGCATGCCAAGACCGAATATACCAGCACTGCATTTTCACTGTTTGTAGCGACATTTGTGCTAATAATAATAATAAAAAAACCTGTTATATTGTCCAAAATAGTAAATAATAATGAAGTATTTTCTGTGATGAATAATTGATGTGCACAATTTAAAAACTGATCAGCAAGTGGGAGAAAAAAGTCGAGATAGCAGAACATTTCATTGAATTACTTATAAAAATTTAAATTTCTGAAGGAGAAAAAAATGTGATTCTGTTTATAAGATACATTGTAAACAGAAAAAGTAACATTGAGTGTCGTAGGTTCAACTTTACTGTGCACTTCTATCCACCAAGGCTGGCTGCATTTGAATAACGATGAAGTGATTTCTGTAGCTAGCTCTGTTTATGTAGAACTGAGGGATGTAGGTGCTATTTAAATGGAAAATAGTATTGTAATGACTAAAATCTCTGGTGTGTCTCTGTGTTGTGTAAGCTATTTCTCATCTGTATTTGAAGTCGTGTGCTGTTTATCTTGAGATCCAGGTTGATGTTAAAACATGTTCCCTTGTTGCTGCAGAATTTTCTGCGTGCTTCCAAAAAAGATTTGCAACGAAGGAGGTTAAATGAATCAAAGCTTTCTTGCGTATTCCTGGCACCCAGCAAGGCTGTATAAACCCTATAGGCATCCCCTGACTTTGGGATGTTTTATCTGGGGAGTTCCATTTAGCTCGATAGTGCCTTATGAAGCAGGTGGGTCTAGAAGGTAAAATAACATTATGGTAAACAATACTATTTGCCACACCAGGCCAAAGCCAGCACACTGCCTCTGTAGGTATGCCTGAGCTATTAGCTGGAGCAAGAGATGAAGAGACAATCCATCAAACTCTTGACCTACATGTTTCCTAGCTACTCTCTGCTGTAATCTGGCTGCACATCAGCATAAGGGCATCCACAGTATAACTGTGAGGAGCACGATTCTTGGTCAGCAGAGAAGGTGACCACACTCTCAGCTCTGAGCATGACCCATACTTGCAAATGAGGTGAAGGAGAGCTTGGGCTCACACTAAAGGAACATTTCAGGGCTTGAACCTTCCCTCTGAAGCTCCCTAGAGCTCACTGCTCCAAGGACTCACACTTCATTGTAGGGATAAGCAATAAGGCTTTAACCTTGGGACATAATGGTACATGTCTTATGACGGAAGTTCTAGGAACCTCACATGTTGATTTCCTGGCTGCCCATGGTGTCATGGGGAAAACTGCAGCAGAGAGAAAGGAATGCTATTGTACAGTTTGGGAAGAAAAGCAGTGTTTCTTTCTTTTTCACTCTGGTCTCTGTGTTGCTAATTCAGCCTTTTTACTTGTTTAGCCTCTATTGCAAACTCAGTTAGCAGAATTTAAAACTAGACTCCTTACAGCTTTAAAAAGTACCGACCTTGTTAATATATGTGACAGAGAAAATGTATGTGAAATCTGGCAAAAAGAAAATAATTCTTTGAGGAGAAGGTGCGCAGGTGCTGGAGAGAGGCTGTGGTGGACACCATACAAGGACAAATACAAAAGGTGGGGAGACCCAGGAACCTGCTTTTTCACAAGCTGCAAGAAAAATATTTACAGACCTATGGTTTGAAAATAAGGTCTCACTCACCATGGGTGAGGACCACAAAAGCATCTCCAGAAACTACAATCCTGGGAACTGCCACTGCAACCACTGGTTGAAGAAAGAGAGCATGAGCCAATGTTTCCTTCAGTTCTTTGGAGTCAGTTTGTAAATCCAGGTAGACCACCTTGTCCCTTAATAAGCACAGAGAAAACTCTTGTTCTGGGTGTTGGGTTAAGGTGTTCACTTCTAGTAGGTCCCTTAGCAGGTACTTTCCCTGCTCTCCTACCATGTGATGGAAGAAACTTGGTTTTAAATGAAATGGGTAGAAGATGTAATTTGGTTATATATGTGTACACAGATCTACACACATGCACACATGCATGCACACACAAATATACATACATAGCTATCTGTATATATGTATGTACACACAAACACATATATACACATACACATACATATATACATATACAGTATGAAATGAATCCCCAACTTGTGCAGAGCTCCCCAAACCACCTAAATCCTAATGGACAAAGGGATCTGTGGTCAGCTTCCCCCCCCACTGTCCTAACCATGCAAAGATTGCTGTTCAGGATAGCAATGCAGATGGCTCAGGCAGGGCTCAGGGGAGATCAAACCATGCCCTTCCAGGGACTGCAGCATTTCTTTCAGATGGTGGCTTTCCCCCACTGTGTGCATAGAACTAATAATCTCATTGCTTACAGATTCCTTGAATTTCCCATCAGTCTATACGTGTAGGGCCTTTAGGATGCAAAGATAGGATAAGGTGCATCTTGAAATAAAAGCAGTGTACTTGTTTGAAGACTTTGAGTGTAAATTTTTTTTTAATATTATAAACTTTTTGTATATTTGAAGTTATTAGCTGTGATGTCTTTTTACCTTGTAGTCCTACCAAAAAGAGCCAGAGCCAGCTGAGTGCCTAATTTGGGGTTGAATTGTAGCTAAGACCATTAATGCCTGAAGAAATTCTTCTTGTGCCAAGAAATGGGATGACTACATCCCTGGTAGGGGTCATTTTTCTCCACTTTGTTAGCAGACAGATAGAGTTTTGTAATGTAAGGCATTTCCAGGCTGGAACAAAGACAGGGGAATCATCACAGGAACTGAAGGTACTCTGTCTAAGCAAAGACTTTGACACCAGCCCAGGAAACATGTGTCTAGTTATTTGGGAATATACCATGATCCAAAGGAGAAATCATGCCCAAAGACTGAAATTACATAGTATGGTCCTGTAGCCCTGAAAGGAGCCCCAGTTTTGAGGAATGGAAGTGGCAATTGAATCCTGCGCTTGTGGCTTCACTCAAGTTGTTGCCTCTCTGGTGCTGTCAAAAGACAAGTGTGATCAAACCAGAAACTCCTTTTGTGAGCCCTATGTCTATTTACTCCACGAGATACAAATACATGTGGACCAGGACAGCAACACCCCAGGATAAAGTATGCCTGTGGGCTACCAACCTGCTGTGGGCATCTCAGAGCCCCTCCTTTCGGAAAGGGAGATGGAAGGCAGGGATGCCTGCACCCACGGGGAGGGCTGCAGGCTCATCGGCCCTGTTAGGTGTTCTCTGTGGCCTTAACAGGAAGGTCTCCAGGAAGACAAGGATACAGCTCATCTGTCAAGGCAGAGGTTTATGTAATGCAACCTGACCAAAATACATGCAACGAAGGCCAAACTATTCAAACGATTACCCTATCAGTCAGCAGGTCTCTCTGTCAAAGGACAAAATGGCAGAAGACTCCCTGCCTGTGGGTGATTAGGGACTAAGGGACTTCTGTCTTCTGGGCTCCTTACTATGGCTGAATTTAAAGCTTTTAACTAATGCTTCTTCGATTATAACCCCTATCATTTCATATTTGGATGCATATGCTGATTGGTTTTAGTGGTGGAATTGCTGACATGTTTGCTAATACTGCTAAAGATATGATTATATATGAGATGTGGCAACCTATCCCCTAAATTCAAGCAATACTAAAGGGGTAAAAATTGTTTTTCCATCCCTCATTTTACATGTTAATCATCAACACCAATATTTATACCACTTTCTCCATTTACACATTTTTCCCCACAACATTTTAAATGCTGAAATTTCAGTGGCCCAGACAGAAATATAATTTCCAGTCAGGCCAAAGCGTCAGCTTGCATCCAGCACGTGGGGCCAAACCCAGGAGCCAGAAGGACGTTCA